CTTCAATTGTCACGTTACCATCATCTAATAGTCCACCACGTGTTTTTAGCAACCCACACAAAATAGCAAATGCATTCCTATCCATTCGCAACTCATTTACACAAATAATGTCACTTTCATGTGTGATGCGTTGGATTTCTATCTATCTAATTTGAAATCTAGTGAATGTTCTTTCTCTTAAACTTCTCCTCCGATCATGTCTTTGTTCATATTCAATTAACCAATTCACAAAATTGACCAAAAGTATGAGTAAGTCGATGTAAGCTTTCAACACTTTAACAACTACAATTAGATGGTTCTGATCCATTATACATAAAAAAAAAATGAGATGTAATCACTATAAAATGTTCCAACTCATAATATAGTGGTATAACATAATCTATGAGATCAAAAATACCACTCATATGCATGATCAAAAACAGTAACAATACATTCAAGCAATTGATTCAAATTAGGGGTTTTTGTTTTTAGATTAAACTACCAAAACAGTAGCAAAAATCTTATCTTCTAAGTGACTTAATTCGGTTCATAAATTCTCTCTAATCAACTTCTTGAACAAAACCTCAGCCTCAAAAATCCTATCTTCTAAAACAAGACCTTTCAACAAAGTGTACCAAAACAGTTTACCAAAAATTCCCAATACAACCAAACATAGCAAACCCTAAATCGATTCATCTTAAATGAGAAAAACAGTTGATTGCAATGTTCATCATATACGCATCCACAGAATTTCGCAGCCGAGTTCAAGTTTAGCAATCAATTCAAACAGTTGAAAAGGAAATCGATTCGAACTGTTGAAAAAGCAATCGATTCAAACAGTTGAAAAGGCAATCGATTCAAACAGTTGATTCAAGCATTCGGTTCAAGCAAACAGCCGATTCAAGCAAGCAATCGATTCAAACAGTTGATTCAAGCAATCGATTAGCAAACACGCTGTGATGAAGGAGAAGGTAGCAATGAAGTAATTGTGTACCTGAGAGTATGGAGAGAGGAGAAGGTAGAACTTGTCGAGATGAATGAGAAGGTAGAACCAGAATCCGACGCTGATTGATGAAGGAAAAGGTAGTGATGAAGGCGAATGTTGTGTATGGAGCGCACGCCGATTGATGAAGGGAAGAAAAGGGTTAGGTCTTGAGGGTAGAGTGGTAAAAAATTTCTTGTTCCATTTAGTTCTAGGGGGTAAGGGTGAACAATCGTGTCCCACCCGTGTTCTACTTAGTTCTACTTAGTTCCACAAAAGGCCACACCAAACATAGAACAATTGTGTTCTATCATGTCATGTCCCATCCTATCCAGCGCACCAAACACACCCTTAAGGCTCAACACTAAGAAGATCGACAATAGGTTATCGTCTTAACATGCAATGAAAATTTTTCTTTAGTACTTTCCCCGATCTAGATATCATAATAACACAATAGCAATATTGAAGTATCATGGTCCCGATCCAATCTTGGACTTTTTCTTCATCTTCTGGGATTACATCTACATGTAAAAGGACCTAGGTTACAAAGAAATGACGTTGACCTTGAGCGTAGCACATATAAGGCAGTTCACTAAATTATCCTTTTCCTAATTCATCATCTCTTCCGATCTTAAAACCTTCAATGTATGATCTATTTCCTTTCTCCAACACAAAAGTTTATAGCTTTATATAATATGTTGTTAAGTCTTTGTATTTCATGATGATCACTAGGCAATAACATAATCTATCGCAATCAAATATTTCGAATAAAATCTCAATATCAATACTACAGTAATAAGTGAAAAAGAACCATGCCTAATCGCTTATTTCATGTTGAATTTACAATCATACACCAAGTGTAACCATCGCTTACAACAATCATTTCATCCATACACCGCATATGAGCATCAGCTGCAAGAAACTCATAATCATTCGTTCATATTGATCAAGATTAATCTAACTCAAAAATTAGGGTTCATGTTTAAAGCACACAAAGACAATGAAAATACCAGTATCAACCTGCAAACTCCAATGTAGAAAGAGTTTCCTTGTATGAGAGTGAACAATATAAGCATCCATAAACCATTGGTCCTGAAATCAAAAAATAACTTGATAAGAAATGAAATTAGCTATCAAAATAAAACAAAAAAACCCCACAAAATCAAACCAACAGTTCAAATACACACACACGAACGAGGAGAGCGTTAAAGTAACAGCCTACTATGAAAGATCTTACAATCGATTCCATTCCTTTAGCTGGAAAAAAAGAAAAACATACAGAGAATGTGATTGAGTGAGAAATGAAGAAAACCTAAACCAGGGCCATGAGGCCCATGATCAGCTTCATCAATGCCCATCATGCAAGGCTTAGATGCCCATTCCAGAATTTTACCCTCCGATCCCATTTCTATTGCTTCAGCGAAAGCATAGCAACAAGTTCCACAGCCGGTACTCTCGCTGCTACACTCCAATCGACTCTCATGGTCGTTCCCGCCAGAAGTACCAGCGAAGGACCGTGGGAAAACGACGAGTTAGGAGTGTTTGGGATTGCTTATTTAAAACAGCCTATGCTTATTTGCAAAAATGCTTATTAACTTATGTGGCATCAAACCGGAGTTTTGTAAAAAGTGTTTGGATTAGCTTATAGGTACCAAAAAGCAATAAGCTGATAAGTTATTTTTTAGTGTTGGCATATTTTGCTTATATATGTAAAATGACTAAAAAAAACAGTCTTCCATATTATTGACTTATTAACTTATTTGATTTTTTAATATGTAAAAATTTATTTTTCATCATTTATAATAATATTTTTGACAAAAATTTATATCAATAAGATTAATAATTAACAAACATTAATAAAACAGGTTTAAAATGGTAAACTGGTAATAAGCAGTTCTTCATAAGTCAGGAAGGTTTAACTTATCAAAAACTGTTTATTACCGGTTTGGCACCGGTATAAGCAGTTTTATTTTTTCTCATCCAAACACTAGCATTTAGCTTATCACCGGTACCAGAATGAAATAAGTCAAAAAAAAAACAAATAAAATAAGCAATCCCAAACACCTCCTTTTATAATTTAATCTATACTGTATAATAAAACTTTGACAAAAACTCTTAAAAATCATCTTTTATACATGAAGTAGTGCTTATTGATGCATATTACTTAAAAGTTCAAGATTACAAACAAATTATACGTAAGTACAACTTATTAAGCTTCATATTTGAATTCATGTAACTAAGTGTAGATAAATATAACTAAATACAAGATAAACTTCTCATTTTAAATATAAAATCTAAAATATAATTATAATAATTATTGAGTTCTAACAGATTACTTAGTTATTATCTTTATAAATAACTAGAAAGGTACTCATACAATGCAGCGAGATACATCTCGATTTCAGTGTTTCGTCTTTTGTCTTAGTCGATGTTATAATACGGTTTTATGTGGTTTTGAGAAAGCGATAATGTTTTTATTTTTAAATAAAATACAAATATGAAGATATCATAAAAAATTAAAATATATATATATATATTCATTTTTTTTTTGGGTTAATAATATAATTTTTTATAAAGATAATAATTAAGTATTTTGTTGGAACTAAATGATTATCCTAATTATATTTTTAGTTTTTTTATATTTAAAATGTGTTGTTTATCCTCTATTTGATTATGTTTATCTGAAGTTAGTTACACGAATTCAAACATGAAGCTTTAATAAGTTATACTTACACATGTTTACTTATAATATTGAATTTTAAGTAATATGCATCAATAAACAATACTTCATGCATAAAAAATGGTTTTTAAAAGTTTTTATCAAATGCTTTATAATATAGTATAAATTATATTATTAAACCAAAAATAAATTACTTCATTATTAAATCTAAATAAAATTATAATAAAATTTTGAGTTAAAGAAATTACACAGAAAAATGAGAACTTTTAAATTTTTTTAAATTTTATGATATATTCAAAATTGTATTTTATTTAAAAAAAACATTAGTGTTTAATCAAAACCACATAAAACCTTATTATAAAATTGACATAGACCAAAAAAATTAAAACGAAACATTAAAATCAAGATATGTTTTGCTGTATTGTGCAAGTACCTTTCTAGTAATATAAAAAGATAACTTATAAGTGTATTTAATTAATTTATTCTCTTTATAAATAAAAAACATATAACCCCATAAAAAATAAGAAATTCATGACTTTGTATAGTGTATTATTCTCTTTGATGTTAACAAAAAGGGGGTGTTTATGATTGCTTATAAAAATAATTTATTGATTTATTCTGATATGGTATCGATAATAAGTATTTTTGAGTGTTTAAATAAAGTGTTTATAATGGTGTCAAACCGGTAATAAAGAGTTTTTAAAGAAGTTAAACCATTCTAATTTATAACAAATTAATAAGGACTTTTATAGAAAAGCATAAGTTGTTTCAAATAAGCAATCCCAAACACCCCCAAAGTATATTTTTATTGTTTTTTTTATCACATTTCATGTTCCGTGGGTATGATCGATTATAGTAAGTTATCTCATATAATTTGGTCTTTTTAATATTCTTCCATGATTTATCCAAATATTACTATTTCTGCAAGTCTTACTTCCTTCACTTGTGGACCCAATTAAAAGACAAAAAAATTATCAGATTTGACCTAGGTCTACAATTGCGACGGCCAAGTCTATAATTTGAGTTTTTTTTTGTTTTATAGCTACGTCCGCAAGTGGCATAGATGGTACTTGCAAAAGTGATATTTGGATAAATTAAGGACATGAATTACTAGAAGACTAATTTATGTCCGAGCAATAACCATTTTGACCAATTTTACTTAATACTATTAAAACATTTTCAACAGATTTTTTAAAATTTCTCTAAAATTAAGAATCAAATGTCAAAATCTTTATTTATGAAAAATCTTTTCAAACAAAAACTTAATTCAAACAGACGGTTTTATGAAAGGGAAAAAATCCAAGGTCGGTTAGGGCAACTATAAATATACCGCGTGGAAACAAGCCGCCATTTATCGACACCAATTCAATTCTGCTACCAAGAACCCAAAGGGAAGGAAATAGCGAAATGGAGAATGGGAACCACAAAGAAATCCCTGAAGACGCCAATGAACGTATGATCATTGTTTAAATGTTTTTAGCTCCTATTTGTTCAATCGATTGGTGTTTCTATTGATTTTATTTCTGTTTGTTCCGTTTCAGATTGCCCAGGAACACAATCAGAGGATGCCGGAAAATCTGATGCTTGTGCCGGTTGCCCTAATCAAGAAGCTTGTGCTTCTGCTCCTAAAGGCCCCGATCCAGGTTCGCTTTCTTTGCTTGTATAGTTACTTTTGGTTGGTTTTCCATCAAGTCAAGTATGGATAAAACTGGATAGGTTGGGACTGATCTTGCTTTCGGGAGGTTTTTCATAGATAGAAGCAGCTTGTTTTTGTAATTGGGAGTGACAAGAACTCAGCTTTCTGCATAAAGCTCACCCATATGAATAAGTCACTTTCTATATATTAAGCCACCACCTAATGAATAAGCTGCGGGTCTCATTAAACTCACATAAAGCTCATTAAGGGACTGTTTGGTAGTTTCTGAATGGTTTTGTGCATAATGATTAAGTGGTGAGAACGATTAAGAGGCTCAATAAAATTTAATTGTTTAGTAATTGTTCATAATGAAATTAGGGCGCCAAATGGTTAAGGGAGATCCAAGATGCAAAATCATTCGGAGGATTTTAGAACCATTTGGCAGGAAAAAAAAATTCTCAAACAAGATTCACCACTTAACAATAATTCAGAGGATGCGTCTTAATAGAACTATCAAGAGATAAACAAACAACCCCTAAGTTGCTAACAAGCATGCCCTTACATATTGTTGTGCTTTATCGGCGAATTTTATTTAGGAATGCATCTTGGTGCAAAAAAAAAACTTTGGTTTAGCTCTTATTCAGTGTAAAGAATAACTTTTCCTGCGTAACAAAGTTTCAAAGGATTTATATTTTGTTGGATTGACGGTAACTTGTTGATTATGTAACATTTGATGACGTGGATACTGTTTACAAAATGTTTTAGAGTGTAGTGGATGATAAACTTGACATCGACGTCATTAAATGTTACAAGATCAACATGTTGTCTGTCAAAATGGTTAAAAAAGATAGGAAATTTTGAACTTTGCTACATTGATTGGGATTAAAAAAAAAAAGATTTCTTTGTTACACTAGATAGTAAGGCAAACTTGGTTGCATTTTAATGCATTTCTTGCTTGTATTTGTTATGGTAAATCATTATGCAAACTAGATTAGTTGAACATGTTTTCTAAATGGCTCAGGCATTTATAGGAGATTTGAACCTGTGATCATGAACCCGCTAGGGCAGACCTATTTCAATCAAGCTTAGCACATGTTTTATATTAGAAGATAGTTCTTTGGTACCTTGCTGTGGGACTAACTCGAATTAGCTGACTGATAAAAGATTAAGCTATGTGCTTCTTGAAACTATTACTAAATAAAGCAAAAATTAAGCAAGTCTTGGAAAATTGTAATACTTTTTGTTTTACATGTTGCTGGAAATTTAAATTTTTTGATTTTTTGAGAAGTTTTCATGTAAGATTTACTTGTCTTTGAAATCATGTGGTGATAGCATTGATTGAGGTTCGAAAAGATTTCTGATTATAGCGCCTTTATTTGAAGGGTATTCTAGATATTCGATAGTTGTTAAATTCTTAAACCACGTGTCAGGTCAAATTAGCGGTTGTTTTAACGTTAAGTTCTGTATGGATAAAGTTGTTTCTATTGATTGGGATAAATTGATGTTCGGTTGTTGTGTTGAATAAACAATCCTAATGTCAGAAATGAATGTTTTATCCCTCAATCTAGATTAATCATCACTTAATAACAGTTTGTGTATCTGTTGTATGCAAATTCTGAATGACAAAAAATATCAATTTAACAACTTGATACAACATAATGATGCAAAATTCAATGATATTATCTTAACAAAATAGTTTAAATACAATTAAATATTTGGACATATATAAATATTCAATATATATATATATATATATATATATAAATATATTCTATCTTTTTATGTACTAAAAAATGCACTAGCATTTGCAAATCCCCTTTTTACATGCTGAAATTGGTCCCCTGCACAGTACATACACCTCCCTGGTTTCAGTTCCCCAGACCCTGTCCATGTTGATGCACTAGCCGCTTGAGTGATTGATGCATCTTTGCAATACAAAACTTTTCAGCAGCTTTAAAAATGAACTTATTATCTTCGTTGCTGAGGCACTGCAAAGTGCCAACATCATTGAATAACATGGTTACCATTGAGATCCCTGATAAGAGCAAGAAATCCCTGTCCAAGTGAAAAAAATAACCATCTTAATTTGTCTTTTATCTGGAGTGTCTATGAGTTTGTGCATCACCCTCGTCCCATGTGTTCAAAGAAATTCAAACAAGTTTCCTTGGCTCACAAGTAACCTCCATTCAAATATGAATTTTTGTTCTTTAATACAAACTCGCATAAGGTAATTCCCAACGGGTTGTTCATAAGCTTAACCATATCCCCAATGATCTCATTGATCACCATCTTCAGTTCACATGATGTGGTTTCCCTCGTCAAAGCACTTTGGTGACACCGACACCCATTTTGATCTTTTGAAAACTTAAGTATTTACCATTGCAATTCGACCATTTTCAGGACCACTTTCATGTAAATATTTTGCCCTCCAACCCCCTACTTGATTTGCAATTTCACCTTGAATGATCAAACTATCCTCATTCAACATCCCGTTTTGTCTTGGATGATATAAACCATTAGGAATAACTAAATTTAAAGCTGATATTCCCCTCTGATAACCAACAGGAGCACGGAAATTTAACAGTGCCCATCATTTTGCTTCAATTCATTCAAAAGATTGATACCAAATTGCTACCCATGCATAAACAACTTGTACACCCATATTAAAACAGTAGTCTTGGGGAAGTAGATGGATTGAAGTCACTTAAAAACCTATAAACTTCAAGAAAAGGACAAACACACTAAACCCATAAATTTCAAGAAAAGGAAAATCCCACTGGACCAAGAGATTCAGTTGCTATAATTGAAACCTAGTTGGGATTCAAATCAGAAATGGGAAACACCACTAAACCAAGAAATTTAGTTGCTATAATCGAAACCTAGTGGGATCCAAATCAGAAATGGAAAAACCCACTAAACCAATGAATTTCAAGAAAATGAGATACGAACCAATTAAAGGCAATGACAAGAATTTCAAATCAGAAATGGAAAAAACACAACTATGAAAATCTCATATTTTTGAACTAACCTCTTTGTTAATGGCAGTGTGTTTCACAGAAATGGAAGAAACCAACTACTGTCTCTTCATTTTCTGAGCAGGGAGGCCAGACATCAGGAGGAGGGAGGAGCTTCTTTAAGCCATCATTTATTTCTTTAAGCCACAACCAAACAAGCATACATCTTATACAACTCATTAAGTCATCACCGAACAACCCCTAATATAAATTTTTAATAATTGGATTTGAGTAGAATTCGCTCCCAAAATGTTTGCTCTAAGGAGGAAGATGCCTAAACCACACACACACACACACACATATATATATATAACCTGGCCATGTGGAAAAAATACTACTTTTAACACCCACCCTGACCCGTGCTTTGCAGGATAGGACCCAAACAAACCAATAAATTCAATTCCTACATTGCCTTAAAAATCCTGCTCTGATACCATGTTAACGTGTCTTGACAACATGGCGATGTTGGACAAAAATACTACAACATATTTATCATTTTCTTGTGTTGCCAATATTGCACCTTGTGGGTTGTAAATACTTGTAATCGTATAATTATATTATATAGTAGAAGAATATTGGGTCTATTCTTAAAATCTTTTCTCTCTTTGGACAGATTTGGTAGTAATTGCAGAAAGAATGGCTACAGTGAAGCACAAGATACTAGTTTTATCAGGTAAAGGTGGGGTTGGCAAGAGCACGTTCTCCGCACAACTTTCATTTGCATTGGCCGCCATGGATTTTCAAGTAGGTCTACTCGACATCGACATATGTGGGCCCAGCATCCCAAAGATGCTTGGTTTAGAAGGCCAAGAAATTCACCAAAGCAACCTTGGTTGGTCCCCTGTTTTTGTTGACTCAATAGGAGTGATGTCAATCGGGTTCATGCTCCCTGACCCTGATGACGCCGTCATCTGGAGGGGTCCACGCAAGAACGGGATCATTAAACAATTCCTCAAAGACGTTTATTGGGGAGAACTCGATTTTCTAGTTGTGGATGCTCCACCAGGAACCTCAGATGAACACATCTCAATTGTTCAATTCCTCAAAGAAACAGGAATAGATGGTGCGATTATAGTCACCACCCCACAACAAGTTTCTTTGATAGATGTAAGGAAAGAGGTGAGTTTCTGCAAGAAAGTTGGGATAAAGGTTCTTGGCGTCGTTGAAAACATGAGCGGATTATGTCAACCCGTCACAGACTTCAAATATTTGAAACAATCCAAGAATGGAGATCAAGAAGATGTTACACGATGGGCTATGGAAATAATGAAAGAAAAGGCGCCAGAATTGTTGGATTTGGTGGCTTGCAGTGAAGTGTTCGATAGCAGTGCAGGAGGAGCTGCAAAAATGTGTCGTGATATGGGTGTCCCTTTTCTCGGGAAAGTTCCATTGGATCCGAAGCTATGTAAAGCCGCTGAAGAAGGTAAATCTTGTTTTTCCGGTGAGGAATGTGGGGTGAGTGCTCCTGCACTTTCTGCTATAATCGCTAAATTGCTGAAAGATAACACAATGACCTGAAAACTTGGTGCAAGTTAATAGTGTTGTTTTAACGAGTTTGGTTATGTGATTCTTGTTTTCGTTCGATGGATAGGATCGAGATTTTCTTGAATTTCCGTGTTAATCTACATATGTGAATTTTGACATCTATGTTTTATAGATGATTTATGTTCTCTATTTGTGTTGGGTATCTTTATTTGCCCTATGATCATCATGTATATTGTACTACACAACATAATAAATTATACAGAACTTATATGGTCATTCACTATGCACAATTGATATTTTTATCAAATTTTTCTGCTTATGACACATAAAAGTGAGACCTCTGTTGAGACAGAGGTAAGGTCTGTGTACATTTCATCCCTCCGATATCCCATATTTGGATGTTATATACTGGGTTGGGTTCGGTTTTTTAGTATAAAAGTCATCTCTCTCTTGAAACAAAGGTAAAGTTCGTATACAGTCTATCCATTAAAAATAGGTTAACCATCCCAACAGAGTTACTAATTCACATGATTTAGATCCATTGCTACACAGTTCTAGATCCGACAAAACCCTCCCTATTGAAGTTGGTGTGGCGACAAGGGTTTTTACACCCGACGGGAATGGAACCTAGGATGGGAGGACGAGGAAGAGGAACTCTCATTGACGTAGGGTTACCATCGAGTCTTGTTGGCTCGGTATGGTCTTTATCTGTGCCTTTTCAACTTGAATAATCTCAAATATAAATTTGTTATTGGGACCAAATATTTTATAATCTTTTTTTATTAATAAATGGGTGGCATTAAATAGATCTCTTTTAAAAAGATGTGTACGAGAGTGGAATTGATAAAGGAGTTACATCTATCAAATTACTTTTCGGTTTTAAAATCGACATGGGCATAGGAGAACCCACATGGAAAATGTACAAAGAAAGTATTATCTATATTATATAAAGCATTTGACAAAAACTCTTAAAATCCATTTTTTATGTATGAAGTATTGTTTAGTGATGCATATTACTTAAAATTCAAGATTACAAGTAAATTGTACGTCAATACAACTTATAAAAGCTTCATGTTTGAATTCATATAACTAACTATAGATAAACATAATCAAATAGAGGATAAACATCGCATTTAAATAAAAAAAATTAAAATATAATTAAGATAATAATTGAGTTCTAACAAAATACGTAATTATTATCTTTATAAAAAATTATATTATTAAACAAAAAATGAATTAAAGAAATACACAAAAAATGGATTAAAGAAATAAACAAAAAATGTGAAATTTTAAATAGTCTCTCTGATACTAATATCAATATTTTTTTTCATTTTTTTATGATATATCTTCATATTTCTATTTTATTCAAAAATAAAAACATTATCGTTTTCTCAAAATCACATAAAATTGTATTATAATATCAACCGAGACAAAAAAAAATTAAAACGAAACATAAAAATCAAAATATATCTCGTTGCATTATGCGAGTACCCTTCTAGTAGATACAAAAAAGTCGGTATTAAAACTGTAGAAAAATAATAGTACTGAAAATGCAAGGCAAATAGTTTTTCAATTTGATACTAATTGTTGTTTAAAAGTGTCTATTTTGTATTATTAAGGTGCATTTTGAGGATTGATCATCAGTCCATCTTCGTCATTATATTTTGTGTCGAATCAAACATTGTATTTTTTATAGAGTAATAACAATTTTGTTAAGATATATCTGGATTTTTATGCTTAACGAGACCTTTTCTATCATAATATATTTTTTCAAAATTGTCTTCTTTCTAAAATACCACTTTAACGTCTTATTAATGAAAAACAATGCTCCAACTTTATGATCGAGTCAATTGACTAATCATCGAGGAATGTTGTTTAATGAACATGAACGCTATCTCCACCGACTTCAATCAAAATTGATCAAGAACCATTAATATATGTTTGATTCGATGTTTGTTAAGGTTTTTGTACACTCAGCTAAAAAAACATCATAAATTCAAGCAAAGCAATGGAAAATATGAAGTTAGTTAATCTCCGTTGAAACTCATCGAAATCCTTAACCCCTAGGAAATATACAGATCAAGGAAACATCTGTTAAAACAAACATGCAAACTTTTTGAGATGAAACTATATGGATCTATTCAGCCCTTTTTAGGGCAGGCTTGATCGGGCTTTTTCAATTTGGGCCTAGGACTAGGCTTGATTCCAAAATTTTGACCTCACCAAGCTCTGGGGTCTTGTCTTGATCAGGCTTTGGGCTCATTAGACCTGAGTTTTTACGAGCCAGGCTTGAGCTAGACCTTTTAGGGTTTGGATTTTATTGTACATCGCTAACTTACTCGAAACAAAAAGACAATAGTCAAAATGATGAGTTATATTTATTAAAAAAATTACTTCAAAAGTAATTTTTTGTTTATAAAATTGTAATATATATTTTTTTAGAGATGCAGGGGGTGTTTGGGATTGCTTATGAAAACAACTTATGGACTTGTTCTGGTGTGACACCGATAATAAGTACTTTTGAATGTTTGGATAAACAGTTTATACCAATGCCAAACCGGTAATAAAGATTTTTTAAAAAAGTTAAATATCTCTAACTTATTATAAATTGATAAAGTTATGTAAAAAAAAATAAGTCTCAAGTCTTTCTAACTTGTAATGTGTTACCAAAATCGAAGCTTTTGCAACATCAAAAATAACGGGCAATTACTCCGAGCTCAAAACATAGTCAATGTACATTCGTAGCAAAATTGCAACATCAGAAAGGAGAAATTTCTTGAAGCATTTTTACGTAAAATCCATAATTTATGGTATGGAATGGCGAGATATGTATTGGGTAAGCAACAGATAGTTAACGACCTTCAACTCCTTAACTCATCACCCTTTGCAGACCTTTTGAGCTCATGTCTCAAGTCAAAATCATCATCTAAACAAACCCAACGCATTCATGCCCGAATAATCAAGTCCAGATTTTGCTCCGAAACCTTCATCCTCAACAGGTTAATTGATGTTTATGGGAAGTCTGATTTTGTAGATGATGCATATAAGGTGTTCGATCGAATGCCTGAGAGAAATATATTCTCTTGGAATGCTGTTTTATCCACATTAACGAATGCGGCTCTTTTAGATGAAGCGAACCAGATTTTTGAGTCCATGCCTGTGACGGACCAGTGCTCATGGAACTCTATGGTGTCGGGTTTTGCTCAACATGATCGGTTCGATGAGTCTGTTGAGTTTTTTGTAAGTATGCATGCTCAAGATTTTGTACTCAACCAGTATACATATGGTAGCTCTCTTAGTTCTTGTGCAGGTTTGAGGAATCTGAAAATGGGTACTCAGATTCATGCTTCGATTTCAAAATCTCCCTATGAAGGAGATGTTTATATGGGTAGTGCTCTTATAGATATGTATTCTAAATGTGGAAATGTGGATTGTGCTCAAAAGGTTTTTAATGGGATGAATCAAAGAAATGTAGTTTCTTGGAATAGTTTGATCACATGCTATGAACAAAATGGTCCAGCTTCTGAAGCTCTTGATGTTTTCAACAAGATGATGAACTCTGGGATCGAACCAGATGAGGTCACTCTAGCGAGCATGATAAGCGCGTGTGCAAGCTTGTCAAAGTTGAATGTGGGGCGGGAAATTCACAATCGAGTTGTGAAATTTAACAAGTATAGGGATGATCTTGTTATATGCAACGCATTGGTTGATATGTATGCAAAATGCAGTAGAATTGTGGAAGCAAGATGGATATTTGATACGATGCCGATCAAGAACATTATAACGGAAACCTCCATCATTAGTGGTTATGCTAAGGCTGCAAATGTCGAAACTGCAAGTTCGATGTTTGTTAATATGACAGAAAGGAATATAGTTTCTTGGAATGCACTAATTGCAGGGTACACACAAAATGGTGAAAATGAAGTCGCATTGGGACTCTTCCGTCAGCTAAAACAAGATGGCGTCTTTCCGACACATTACACTTTCGGGAACCTTCTTAACGCTTGTGCAAGCCTCGCTGATTTGAGGCTAGGCCAACAGGCTCACACCCATGTGATAAAACATGGATTCAGGTTCGAATCTGGACCAGAAAGTGATATCTTTGTGGGAAATTCTCTTATAGATATGTATGTCAAATGCGGATCCATAGAAGATGGAACTCGAGCCTTTAGGGACATGGCTCAAAGAGATTATGTATCATGGAACGCGATCATAGTAGGGTTTGCTCAAAATGGGCACGGGTTTGAAACACTTGAATTGTTCAAAGAAATGTTGGCATCTGGTGAGAAACCGGATCATGTTACCATGATCGGTTTACTTTCCGCTTGTAGCCACGCTGGGCTGGTTGAGGAGGGTCGTCGCCATTTCTACTCCATGACCAAAGAATATGGAATAGAACCAATGAAAGACCATTTCGCCTGTATGGTGGACTTATTTGGTCGAGCTGGTTGCCTTGATGAAGCCAAGAATTTAATAGAAACGATGCCAATAGAACCAGATGCCGTCATATGGTCATCTTTGCTTGGTGCTTGTAAAGTTCATGGAAACGTCGAGTTGGGGAAGTTTGTGGCTGAAAAACTGATGAAAATCGACCCTAAGAACTCTGGTCCATATGTTCTGCTTTCAAACATGTATGCTGAAAAGGGAAATTGGGGAGATGTTAAACGGGTTCGAAAGATTATGAAGCAAAATGGTGTTGTTAAACAGCCGGGTTGCAGCTGGATTGAACTTCAGGGGAAAGTTCATGTTTTTATGGTGAAAGATAGACGGCAGCGTCAAAAGAAAGAAATTTATACGGTTTTGAGAACACTTACGAAAGTAATGAAGCTTTTTGGATATGTTCCTAATGTACGCGATTTGGAGGCGAACGAGGAGGGCGGTTCGGATTTAAACTCATTTGAAGAACAGGAAGTACCAATAACAACAGAAGTTTCATAATTTCCAGATGAGTAAAAACCACTTTAAAGCATTATACTTGGTTTCTTTTCTTTCTCTCTCTGAGCTCAATACAATGTCTAACAGGATTCTTGATGACTAACTAGAACAAACTAACAACTTCTATTTATACCCCTAGAGGTTACAAGTATAACCTCTAAACAACTATTATAAAGCATATTAACAAGCAATGTAAAACAGTTAAGCACAAGAACTTGAATACAACTTTAGTTCCAACAGTTTGAGTATAAATAAAGGACATGGTTGTCGGTATAGCCATTGACCGTTTATGCATCTTCCCAAGCGACAAATGTCGTGTGTTGTTTACCGACATACATATGTGATTTCCTAAGCAACATAAATCACGAGTTCCAAAGTTGTGTACGACGTAGCTTACCAACAGCTATATCGATAACTGGGTGCTTTATTTGTGCTCAAACTTATATCATGGACCTTTAAATGTTGACTCTGAGAGTATGTTCCCCAAAATGGAAATTGAATGAAAGTATACTAGATCTCCATGCACTCCCCCTCCTTTTCTTTAACTATACTTATCGTTATATATATATAGTTAACCATAAGGGTGGTGTCTGATTGGTTTGAGTTTGGCTCAAAAGGTCAAAAGTACCAGGAGGTCCCAGGTTCAAATCCAAGGAGGAATAAAAATCCCCTTGTGGCCACAAAAGTTCAAATGCGATGACTCTTGGCTATCTGCAAAGTAGGTGGCCCCACTGGAATTACTCGGCTCGCATAGCGGGTTGGATATCCAGGTTAATAAAAAAAAATTGTTACATTAGTTAAAGAAAAAATATTAATTATTTTATCATAAATAATTATTTTATTTAATGATAAAAATCAACTGATATCCATAATCATTCTACACAAGATTCATGTTAGTGCTATCCAAACTTTTTGGTGGTGCTTAATTTATGTTTTTTCATAACTTTGTGGGTGCAAAAATGACAACTCAATTTCATTTAAGGCTAAAAAGTGTTATGTCCACTCTCTAGGTTTTGGAATTTTATGTCTTTTATAAAATCCGTCAAGAAATGATAACGTCGATATACTGATATTGGTGACGTTATTGTTGGTTAGGGGTGAAATGTCACTCGAACCCAGAGCTAGTTGGATGACTCTATCTACTGACGGTGTCCGTTAAAACTATGTCTATATCATATATTCACATTTAATGAATAGTGTGTATTCATCGATGACATGAACGCACGTGTCGATCAATTTGAGGTTTGAGAACGGTCGTATCGAACTTGAGGTATTTTTGATGTTTTAATGGTAAAAAAATGAATATGTTATCTTCTTAAACGTTACTCTGTGTTTGATTTATATTGGGTGTTCTTTAAAAGCGAATTCATATAATGCATGGACATATGGCAAGAAAGAAAATACATGTATCATACTCATAGTTTTGAGTTAACAATCACTTTGGTGTAGGAACTCAGATAAATATCAGTTTATGTTCAGTGTTATTTGATAGCCAATGCTGTTATTTCTGTATCCAAATGGGTAGGTTGGATAATAGATCGAATTGGGTTCTGATCAAAACAAGTTAGGTCGTTGTCGTGTGTTTTATTTTTTTCAATTACTTATTTAAATAAAAAATTGTAATATATATATATATAGAGAGAGAGAGATGATGTTTACTTTGCAAACCACGTTATTTGTATAAACCGTACAAATCTCATTCAACCAATCATAATTTTTCATTTTGTTCATTTTTTTGTAATTATAAGAGGTTGACTAATCATTTTTATTGTAGAAGATGTTAATCATGGATATTATCATCTTCATTATTTTAATTTTAGAAAAATACATGAAATAGTTTCATTAAAAGTTCATTAAGTATTAAATGAAACAATTTCATAACCATATATAAAACAACTTTATCAAAAAAAAATATATATATTATATGAAACAATTTCACAAGATTAAACAATTTCATGAAAAAATTTCATAAGATTAAACAATGAAATCGATGGATGAGGATGATTTGCACGATTTATACAAATTGGGTGGTTTGCATTTGAACGCTCCTCTATATATAGAGAGAGAGAGATCCCATGAAAATAGATTGTTGGTGAGAATGTAATAACACAAATTTCATCTATCTTTATCCATCTACGTTAACTTGCATTTCAGATATCTTCATCTACCTCAGTTATTTTTGTTATTGAAATTTAAATCAATAAAATTGTTTGTTTTTGTAAACTGATAAATATCTGAATTTGTTTAAATTGTCTATTTTACCCATTATAAAATTATATTGTTGAATTTATAAAAATTTTATACAATTTCACATATTTATTCTTCATCATTACGAAATTTAGATCTAAAATTATATAATTAACATTCATTTAAACGAAAATATATCATTAACAGTATTTTAACACATTTAAATCCTATTAAAATCACCAATTGAGAAAGGGAGGATCGATTGAGAAACGCCGTTTCTGAGAGTTTGGAAAGCAATAAGAGGCAAATAATATGTCGGTTTACCTCTCATTTGATAAAAGGACAATAAGACATAAGTATCTCTAAAAATTTGAAAAAACCAAACAGTTAAATGGCTCTAACTCTTAAAGAATCAGACATAAGAGGCTGATAAAAGTTTTATTTAAACAAACAAGTCAAAATTGTTTTGTCACAAATCCTACTAAAAATAACCTCTTATGCCTCCACCGAGCATCTCGTCCTCTCTTTTCCCTCTATCGATCATCCTCTGCCTTCTCTTCCGCCACTGACCTCCCCAGACTGCTCCTCCCTCTTTCTGGCTACCACCACGTACCTTACTCAACCCCGTTATCCTCTCTCCTTTCTCGACCACCCATAACCCATTTCATCATCAGAACAGCACCACACCACCACCTTAATGTATTTTTGTTACATATTTAGCTCTCTTTTTTTTTATTAACCTGGATATCCAACCCGCTATGCGAGCCGACTAATCCCAGGACGACCACATGCTTTGTAGATAGCTCGGAGTCACAGCATTTGAACCTCCGTGCCCACAAGGGGATTTTTATTCCTCCTTAGATTTGAACATGTGTCCTCCTGGATATTTAGCTTTTCTTTACGGACTCTTTCTGGGGTTTTCCTACTTTTAAACTGAATTCTACCGACATATCCAATTATCGTTCACTTTTATAAGTCAAAAGAATGTAATTGACGGGTTTCCATAACAACAAGAATTTATTCATTTAAAAAAAGCAGTCAAGTAATTTAACATTCAAAAGATGACAGTTTGTCGAGTATTTTCATATTTTTACCATTTTGTAAATGCCCAGGAAAAAAGTTTTTTTTATTATTTAATTTTATTAATTTTTTTCACAAAATTACAATAATGATGATTATAAAATTGAATTATTTTTATGTAATTGTTAATTACCCAAAAAGTCCTCCTTTTTATTCTCTTATGCTCTTTTGAAGTTTTATAGTAACAACATAAAAATTAGAAAGCTACATTTTATAGTGGATCCTACACCAAAACCAATTAGTAATAATCAAAGATATTTAGCAATACTAAACATATTACAATAATAAAATATAATCAGTAAATCTATATACTGTATTATAAAGCATTTGATAAAAAAAATTAAAAACTATTTTTTATTCATGAAGTATTGTTTAATGATGCATTTTACTTCAAATTCAAGGTTACAAGTAGTTATGTATAAGTACAACTTATTAAAGTTTCATGTTTGAATTTGTGTAACTAACTACAGATAAACATAATTACATACAGTATAAACATCTCATTTTAAATATAAAAGATCTAAAATATTATTAAAATAATCATTGAGTTCTAATAGAATACTTAATTATTATTTTTATAAAAAAATATTATTGAACCAGAAAATTATTTCGTTATTAAATTAAATTACAATAGAAAAAATTGAATTAAATAAATTAGATAAGAAAACGAGAACTTTTAAATAGTAATTTGATATTAATATCGATATATTTTTTTTCAATTTTTTATGATATTTTCAAATTATATTTTATACAAAAATAAAAACATTATTGTTTTTCAAAACATTGATAGAGAGATAGAAGAAAACGAAACAATAAAATCGAGATGTAACCATCTGCATTGCGTGAGTACCCTTCTAGTACTTATTAAAAGAAAATGTTAAATTTGATTGGACATACAATCATTATGTTTTCTGTTTACGTGAGAAAGAAAGTTATAGTGAGAAAGGTTATAAATGATCTTCATAATTGAATCAATCATAATTGAAGATCAATACCAATGAGATATACCGAGATGCACCAGATCAATTCTCGTATCAAACGCAGTTCATTGAGTGAGAATGAGATTAAAAGTGATCAAAAATCCAGATCTCTTCTTACAATTATCATCTTAACTCATATTCTCATACGATCCTTTGGCTATATCCACATACCATCAAAATATATAGTTTTTGATACGAAAGGTTTTCATTTTGAACAAATACCTGTGATATAATTGCGTCTTATCACAAGATTTCTTATTTTATCGTATCCTACAACGGTGTTTAGTTTTTTATTTAGTTACCAAGTCATCGTTAAATAATCCAATTTCGTCCTATAAACTCATTTTTATAAAACTGGAATTCGTTATATTGTCTAATTTTATCCCAACAATTTATCATGACGTCTCTATATAATATATACAATTATTGGTTATATAAATTTTAGAGTCTCATTAATTATATTATTATGATCCAACATGTACTTTTTTTTATTAACCTGAATATCCAGCCCGCTATGCGAACCAACTAATCCTAGGACGACCACATGCTTTGCGGGTAGCCCAAAGTCATCGTATTTGAACCTCTGTGGCTACAAGGAGATTTTTATTCCTTCTTGTATTTAAACCTGAGACCTCCAAACACTTTTGACCTTTAGAGTTCAAGCTCAAATCAATCAGACATCATCTTTATAGTCAACATGTAGTATTGTTAAATAATAACTAAAAAGATTTATCAAATATTATATTGTTTATAGGATTAATGATTAAGTCA